CATTATTCGAGACTTCCTGGGGAATATCCACTTTCACTTATATAGTAATTGACCATTAATTGAGGATATTTACTATCATGTATTAATTTATTCAATTTTAATATTTAGTCTAGTCATATCTTTTTGTTTATATTCATAAAATTATGTTGGTTGATATGTGTGCATTTTAATGTTGTATTTATAGCATTCAAATTTTTTTCGTTTTCATATATTCTTTAATAGCGATGGTTTTATGTATTATATTAATGATATTTTATAAGATTATTGTTATGAAAAGGGAGGAAAAAAGTTTTTATATATAATAATAAAATAATATATCATAAGTGCAATGGCCAAATGTGATTAATCAGAATGCTGTGTATAAAGCAACCTTATGAAGTAGGGCAACAATATTTTGAATAAAGTAATTCTTTCTCCTAGAACGTGATTAAAAAATAAACTGAAAATATTTATAAATAAATTATAATATGAGATTTGATAAAAATATATTCGTGGTTTAAGATTACATTCTATGTCTACAAATTTAACATATGATATTTTTAATTCTTAATAGGCAATATTGAATACTTCAAAAGCAAAGAAGCAATCTGAAACCTCTTCACGTACTAACTAGCATAAACATTACTTCAGTTAAGTTATTATAAGAAAACTATAGATTTGGTGGATAATCACTATATATTATCATGTCTTATTTTTATCTAGAACATAATAAAATTAATTAGATGTTTTAAAAAGTCAATCTCTCAATTTGATTATTCATTTTAAAACTAGTTTCTTCAATGAAAAATACAATATATATTTAAACTTTTGAAGTTTTTTTTTCTTTCAGTGTTGATTTATGTTGGATATTACACCGCTCAATTTTATTGGGTTACTCGGAAAAGCTAAACTTGTTCCAGTACCTATCTGAATACTACAATCCATTTTCACCGAGGCTAAGCCTTTCAAGATTTATAATGCAGTATTGCCAAGAATAAACCTCATAAAATACTTGGCAATTGCCTGCAAGTATTACTTAAATGTTTAATAATAGAGTTACTTTATTCTTAAAATATTAAGAGATCATGAATGTTTTATAATAAGAAAGCTAACTTCAATTAAAATTATCTTAACACTTAACAATGAAATATATTTATATAAAATAAAAACAAAAGGATAACCATGGTCGATTTTTCTTTCGTCTTCACTTCTTTACATTCCCACCAGACATAATATAATCAATAATCAGCTGATTGCATTTCAGTAACTTCATACAAAAAATGAATAAAAGTTTTATAATTAATTAAACAAGAAATGGAAGGCACGAGTACTTGTTGAGAAAATCTGAGTTAAACAGGAAAAAATTATAGTGGTCATTATAACAATAATATGGCTGAAAATTGGTAATGAAGGTATCTGTTACTTTAAATATTTCAACAGTATGGGTATCTATTTTACTAAGTTATTCTTGTTTAGAGTCTGCTATGTACAGTATAGAACCCTTTTCTACCACTCAGTATCGAAGGATTTTGAGAAACAAGATGTCAAAAGAAACCGAATTTCATGAAGAAACGGTGATTTGATGAGATTTGTAGGAATTTATTTTAATCCCCAATTTTAGATGATATTTGATGAGATATAGGAACGGATAATGAGAAAGAATATACGGGACAGGAATTGAAAGATTTTTGGGATGCCATTCTGGATCAAATGCTTATTCTGAGTCGAGAAAGACTCCCTGTAGTAGAACCTGCCCTCCAATGTAGTGGAGATAATGTCTTCCATACACATTGCTGAATAATAGAATGAGATGTTCGGAACTGAAACTGGTGATCTGGGATTATTTGATAGGATGGGATACAGGCTTGTTAGAAATTTTTAAAAAATACCTTAATATCTAAATATCTTTTTTTTTTGTTGGCATTATAGACCATATAGACCTTTTGCCACCTTTACAAGACTGCTCCATCTCTGCCTGTTTTGGGCTGTTTCTTTCGATTTATCTGCACAAAGCTCTGTTGCATCTTTGTTGATTCTATCTATCCATCTGCTTTTTGGCCTTCCCTGTGGTCTTTTGTCTACTATTGAGACATTCATTGTTACTTACAGGCTTCCAGATGGATTGCTACGTACTACATGCCCAGCCCATCTTAACATCCGTGCCTTCATATTATGGAATATTGATTCACCAGTTTCTGTGAGCAGTTCTCTATTGGCCTTTCTTCTACATGTATTAGTACTCTGATTTCAAATCTATCAACACTTTTTTTAGTGTCCAGGTCTCACAGCCATACATTAGAACTGTCTTTATTACAGCATTGTACACACTTAATTTGAGATTTCTTGAGATTTTACGGGATTTTAATACCTTTGAGAGGGAAAAGAAACTCTGCTTGAGCTAGTTATGCACTGGTCTATTTCTGCCCGTTGGTCATTCATTAAGTTATTGTGGATGCGAGGTATTTGAATTTGCCTACAAAACGTATTAAAATAATTAATTTTAGATTATGCAGCAACCGTAAAATATAAATATCGACGAATAATACTGAATTCCATCGATGAGTTTAAGAACGGTCTGATGTATTTACATTGCCATCGATGAGCTCAGCACTGAATTCAGGAACTCACCCATAATATTGTTTTGGTTTGTTTATTATTGTTATTGTCAGTTTGATGTCCCTGTTATCGATGAGCTTTCGACCTCAGCATATTATTTTTGGAATCATAAAAAAAGAAATCTAATATTACACACACATTGGAGTCCAATGAGTCATTATTCAGTGAGTTGCCAAGCAACAGTTTTACGAATCAGGGTCAAGCTATGAACCAAACCAGATCAACACTCATCCGCGTTTGTCACTTGTTTGGCAGGGTCTAATGAGTCAGCAGATACTTCGTGAAAATAGTAAACAACATCGGTGCATTGTTATTATCACTATCTATTAATAATATACCGAATCCAGGTTTTAATTTTGGCGGCTTCAGCCCGAAACCTCTCCTCCCCCATATATCCGCCATGGATAATATATGAGTTACAGCTATAATATCGAAACATCAATACCTCGGCTCCACAATAACCTCAATGAATGACCAACGGTCAGAAATATACCAGCGCATAACTAGCTCAAGCATAGCTTTCTTCTCCATTTTAAAGATATTGAAATCCTGAGAAATCTCAAGAAATCTCAAATTAAGGGTATACAAAGCTATGATAAAGTCAGTTCTAATATATAGCCTGGACACTAAAAAAAGTGCTAAAAGATTTGACAGAAAAATCCTCCATACTATAACCGGAGCGATCTGGGATCAGAGTACTAACAAATGTAGAAGAAAGGCCAATAGAGAACTGCTCACAGAAACTGGCCAATCAATATCCCATGATGTGAAGGCTCGGAGGTCAAGATAGGCGGGGCATGTATAGCTCGTATCAATCCATCTGGAAGCCTCTACGTAACAATGAATGCCTCAATAGAAGACAAAAAGTAGATGGATAGATAGAACCAACAAAGATGCCATAGAGCTGAGTGCAGATAAATGGAAAGAAATAGCCCAAGACAGGCAGAGATGGAGCAGGCTTGTTAAGGGGGCAACAGATCTACATGGTCAGTAATGCCAAAGGAAAAAAAAATTAAAATTATAGAAATATGTATTATTAAAAGTATTGAAACCATAACCTGAATTTATCTCTTTAAAATGTCAAAACTCCTGCACTCTAGTGATTTTAATTGTAATTAAATATTTTTTAGGATGAAATAAAATTATCAATGATAATTTTGTTTCATACTAATAATTGATCAGTCAAATAATTACCCCTCTCTTAAATATTTTTATTCTCATATATCATATGTTTATTCTCATCCCTTTAATGTTTCACTTCTCCTATCGCATCTATGCAAACGTTAATGGAAACCGCTAAAGAACAAGGGCTCGAAATAAACACGGATAAGACAAAATACATGGTTACCTACAAAAATTGGGGTATTGCCGGTGATATCCAAATAGAACAAGTAGAGAAGTTTAGATATCGGGGATCAACGATAACTAGAGAAAGTGAAATTGAAGAGGAGATTAAGGTTGGTCTGAAGCAAGACTGAGCAACGTCTTAAGGTTTTTGAAAATAAAGTATTGTTTAGAATATTCGGACCAGAGAAGGATAAGTTAACCGGAGAGTTTAGACGGTTACGCAACGCCGAATTGCGTGAACTTTATCTGGTTAATATAATAGAGGTGATAATATCGCGGCGAATCAAATGGGATTGTAAAATTGTTGGGTTTATTAACCAAAGAATTCCTAAAAGGTCAATATTTGCCGTACCAATGGTAAATGCCCGAGAGATAGAACGAAGCGAAGATGGGAAGATTGCGTTAAAACCGATCTGAAGGAACTGGATTTTGACGAACAACGGTGTAGGGAGGTGTGTGATAAGCGATTGGTGGTGTCGGCATTGAACCTTCGGGTTTGCTAAGACTTTTATTATTATTATATCACATCTATATTTAGGTGCAATTCATAGCGGAAAATATACCTTCATGACTTATCCGTTCCTACATTTTCTGTTCCTGTGAAGTTTCCCATACTTTTGGAATGCCGTAAATGCAGCTACCTCTTATTTTAAGCAACGACTTATCTTTATTAAATTTATTGTAAACGCAATTATAAATAGGAAATCATAGTAGATAAATTACTCCAAATATAAAACAACAATAATATCTATTAGTTTTCTATAGCAGATACGTAAGTAAAAAAGACCGAAGAACTCTTCGTTCAGAAACCCGAACATACGATTCAGAATAAGGGAGTCTATCCTTCGGATTTCTTCAAACATCAAAAATAATAAACAAAACATTTCATAAAAATGCTGAGGTCAATAACGTAATTAGAACAAATTATTTATCAGTAGTTTCAAAAGCCAACAATACTAAGTGCAAGTGCCTCATAAATTATATATTTATAAATTGTTGTTTTGTTGCCATAGTAAATAAGGAATATTAATAAACTATTAGGAAAAACGTGGACTCACCCTACTGCGCCGTTGGCCAGCACCTGCTTTTGTTTGTGCAATGCTTCTTTTACGTTTTCGTTTGAGTAAAGGTTGATTGGAGAATTGTACTGCTTGCTGACAAGGTTTCCTCGAAGGGCCATCTTGAAATTTCTGTAAAAATAAGATAAGTTTAATTAATTTATTTATATAAGTTGTACCGCTTAAAAATGTATATCTGCCAACACAATGGAAGGTTCTGAAGTAATATTCAAATTATGCGTAGATTATTTTGTAACAGAATGGAATAGTAACAATAAGCATTTTTTAATATTTTTCTAAAGTATATTTTCAATACATTTTTTTTTAATTTGCGTATCTATTGCCACTAGCGGATCCAGGATTAAATTTTGGGAGAGCTTCAGCCCGAACAATTTTTTTCATATATATAAGGATAATTAATTAGAAAAAAAAGAGAAAGAAATGAACTACCTATATGAAATGGTGTTTAAGTAATTCTTGAAGTCCTATTTAATGTAATTACACGAACAATAACACTTTAAGAGATAGTTTTTAATATTTTTTTCTATAAAATATGGTTATATTATACCGTTTTGGGGGAGGCTTCAGCCCGAAAGCTTCCCCGTAAATTCGCCCTTGACTATTATATTATTAAATATTTTGGGGATTGTTCGGGTTACACCTAATTAGCCACATATCGATTTTATTAAATTTCATCCACTGATTTTTCTATGCATTATACATGTATTTTTTCTTGAAAGTTCTAAGATGGCTGGTCCGATTTGGCTTAAATCTGGATGATAGTTGAGGATTAGTGTACAAATGTTCCAGGATCGATTTCATGCATGTTCATTTTTTTATTTATTTTCTGTTGCCGTTACAGACCTCGTAAATCTCGTAGATGGAGGAATGGAACCGGCGGTGGATCTATCTAACCCCCAAAGGATCTACCTTAAGGAAGTACTGCCCCACCGTCCGGTCGCGTTTAGAAGTGGGTCGTTCCGGACTAGTGGCTCTCATAATTTCTCACAGGCCATGGGGGCTTTCAAGCAAAGCTTCATTACCATGGGATGGACATCGACCCCCTCGGTCCTAGCTGCGGTGTTCCGGAGACTGCTGAGCACATCATAGTCGATTGCACCACCTTTGAAGAACTAAGGGCTAAGTTACTGAGGGAAACCGGTCTCTACATTCGCACAGAAAACGACTTTCCTCAGTTACTCACTGAGGAAAACTACCTGTACTACAAAGATTTTGTGTACAGGTAGAAAACCGCGGTGGGGCCAGCCCATTTCAATCCAAGAAGAGGAGGAGGAGATAGACCATTGGCATGAATTAGATGATTCAATGAAATCAATAAAGAGCAGAAGAACGAGATTCATTTGCAGCAGTGAGATGTTGAGCTGACCTGCCTAACATCTTACTATTGCAGACACCCGTATTGCCTACTAGGCACGGCAGGGTTTTAAATAAATAAAACCTATCTTGCCTATCTTGGGCTATTTTGTTCCAAATATAAAGTGTTTTACTGAAATACTGATCTTTTTTTAGTTCCAAAGAATTTAATCACTACTTCATTTGAAGTCAAAGGATTAACTGAAGTAGTGATTGAATTCCCAATCGTGATTCAATTTGAGTAAAATAATTGGTACTCAGAGTAGCGTTTGTTCCTCTCTAATCTGGTTTTTGGCCTTCCAGGTGGTCTCATGTCTCCTATTAAGGCTTACTTTCATGTACATATATTGTTTTATCTTCATTTACTCGTATGCCGATTTGTTTTGTTTCTCTTAATATTATCTTAATGAGTCTCTCAATGTCCTCTTGATTACTTCCATGAACAGCTTATCAGTAGACAAAATATTTTTGAGAAAACAGTGATTGGATTTACTGAGGTCAATGATAAAAGCGACTATCTGGAGGTCTAATACGGCCGCTGTACAGAGATATGCTGCTCGTGGATGAGTAATGTAACTGCAGCAATACAGTGGCCGTATTAGATCTCCTGAAAGTCCCTTTATCATGGACCATACTAAATTTAATCAGTGTATTCTCAACAAATTTTTTTCTTTTAAAGATTTTGTCTTGTAAACAATGAGGACTTAGAATTTAATTATGGAAATGGAAATAGAAAATAACTTTATCCTGGGACAAAGTCCCTTTAGAATAACAAAATAGAACATAATTAACATACTACATCTGGCCAAAATAAAGCAATAATAAAAAAGAGAAAGTAAAGAAAATATTAGTTAAACAAGCTATATAAAAAAAAAAAAATCTATATACAAAACACTTAAAACTATGATAAAACACTTAAGACTATGTACAGTAGGAAAAATTATAATTAGACTCTTTTGAAAAATAAAATAATAAAAAATACATTGAATTCTTCTTTAAAATGAAGTGTGTTTCTGCTAACAAAGAAAAGACAAAGCTGACAATATAAAATGTCAGTGTATTTAAATAATTAATAATATGTAGACTCATCATTGTCAAATGCTAGCTATAGGTACAGATTTAATTATATACGAATAAAAAATAATAAAAAAACAAACAATAGATGCGGTCAGTGGCATTAAGAGCAGGAAGATATTGTAATATCCCTAGTGAAGTTCACAGTATAGAATAGTACTATCGTTTGATAATGACTAGAAATGTATAATATCAAAAGTTTAGCAAGTATCTGACTGTTTTTGGGATAGAAATTGGAATAGGAGGTATTTGAATGTGGATATGGAGGGAGAATACCGAATTTTGATAGGTAGAGAATGCCAGAAATTGACAGCGTGGGCTATAAAGGAATTTTGATCAGTGAGAAGGGATGTAGAGGTCAGAAGATCGAGATCTTGTTGAAAGGGAATGGACTGAGGACTTGAATTGGAAAAGGTTGTAGACGTAAGAAGGACGATGGTTGTTGATGATTTGGTAGAGGAACGTACCTAGGAGATATTGTCTTCTAAAAGAGGGGAAGAGCCACTTTATCTTTATCTTAAATTGTCTTGAGCAGTTTTTGAGTAATTGCTTCTTATTAAATAAAAACCTTGACTACCTTTAGAAATATCGGGTGTGTCCACTCACACGACTTTCCTACCTATTTCAGAAAAGTTTTTATATCTTTACGTTCATGAAGGAACAAAAAAAAATTAAAAATTGAATTAGATATATTTTCCTGAAAATCTATCAAAGAAAATATTTGAGTACGATTTATTTGATAAATTAAAGCAATGTAAGCCGGCTTAAGGTAGATCAGGGTAAAAATTTCAATACTCACTAATATTGCTGATTAAAAACTTTTTGCCATAGCTTAGTATTGTCAAACATAATTTCTGGTGAAAGTAGAGGAAATAGTGAAGATTGTGTGATGCGGGCAACAGATTTTCATCTTTATTCTGTCATTCAGCCCTTTCTGACACCAGGATATGAACCCGTAATCTTACATTGGAAATTGAATAGCTGTAACTTCGTTAATATTTGTCTAAAATGAACGATTTTGATATGGCTTTGTATGGAATTTCGTTACCTTAAACGTCGTTATTTTATTTTAAAAAATAGAATAAGCTGTATCATCGCTAATGCTGGTTCGATTCCGATGATTTTTTTTTTGTTTTGTTGATAATTTAATTAGTTTTCAAAAGTGTTATTATAAATTTTACCGTATAATATATACTTAGGGAGTTAGGCCCCATAACAGTTTTCTTTTCTTTATAACTTTATTTCCTGAATTTCCTCGGGAATTTAGTCCATATACGAAAATTGAAAGGACAATGATTAAAACATTATATGAAAGTTTCATCAAAATCGTTAGAGCCGTTTTCGCGCTACAGTCACAGGCATCAGTAGTCAAAACTCTACAAAATAAAAAAAGAAGCGACAAAATCGGTTCACTAGTTTCCGAGAAAATCTTTGCACAGACAGACATACCAATAGCTAAAAATGTGTTTTTCGAATTCAGGGAGCTCTGAAACGTATAGATCCGTCGAAAACCTCATATCGGAAATTTGACCCGATTGCAATACTTTCTTTACTTAGTATAGGTAGGAAAGTAAAAAACACAATATTGGTCTGAACTATTTTTCCGTATTTATTAAGGCCAATGCAATCTGACATAGATTCTATCAAGAGAAAACTGTAAGAAGTCAGTTGTGCAGTACATAAAAGATTTTATTTTACTTTTATGCAGCACCATATAAAAACCGACTCATTTTCACCATCATAAAATAAAGGCAATAATAGAAACATAAATCGGTTTAATAAGAAAACAATCTTTAAAAAAAAAACCTATAATATGGTCAACATCAAACCAAGTCTATCATATAATTGGAACAATGAATGTTGAATGCAACACAAATAAACTTCAAAGAAAATTTATTTATAAATAGTAATTTTAATATTATTTTTTTTTATGTATCGATGATTTCAAATGATTCATTTCTCCAAAGTCTTTGTGTGCAGCCAAAGTGGCCAAAGTGAGTGTTGTAGGCGCTTCTGCCAAAAACACTAAAAATAAGCGGCGGCGGTTGAGATACCTCATGACTCACTGTCCAATGACGTCAAGGCACTTTTCTAACAGGAACGTCCCGAAAAACCTTCAACCTCCGTATTTCAGGGATGAAACCATTTTTTAAAAATTAGTCTCTTCTTTTTTAAATCTTAAATATAGCATTCAATGTCAGAAGATCTTCAGAATCATTCTTAATAATTATAACTATATAAATAAAGGGTCATTATACTAAAATTAGCAAGCTATCTTCGTCTCTTTATAAAGTACTAAGGTGTGTGATTTAGACCACAAGATAGAAGTGAAAACATCAACAAGGCGAGAATATATATATTAAATATAGATAATAAACAATAGCTCATTATAAAGAGGAGAAAATGGTGCACTATTCCCTCTATTGATGTATGCAGGTCCGATTTTTAGTTTCTGAGATATTTTAACCTATATCTTCAATAAAAATCGTTATAATTTGGTTTTCGACTGTATTTTTTTTCTCTAGCATGGCATCGAGTTAAAAAAAAAAATTGAGCAACAGCTCATTACAAAGAAAATGAAATTCTGAACATTTCCCTCGCTTATAGTATGCAGTTCCGATTTTTAGTCTTTGATCCATACGCAAAAAACATTTCAATTAGTCGACTTTACCCGAGCGTTACAC